TTTTCAATGTCCACAGAGGGCGTATCGCATTCGCGTATCCACGAAAAACGGGGCCGTGACATCTCTCAGGCTTCTCTCTGCTTTGGCCAACTCATGGAGGTTCTTACCTCCATGACCGTAATCGAATCCCCCCCCCCCCCCCAAAGTGTCGCTCTCCCCCGATTGGCCGTGTGCCACGTGATCTCCGTGCGCCTCGAGCTTCAAAAAACGCGATTTCAGGTTGAGTTGACCGTTCGCCCGATATTCGTCGATCTCGTCGACGTCGCGAGGAGCGTGATCGACGCTCGGCGACCCGCGTTCCCTTTCGTTTCAGGCTGCTCCGTGGAGTACGCGCGTCCGCGCGAGCAACGCGCTCTCGTCTCCAGATCGCCCTGACGCCGGTGTGGACCGCGCCAGATTACCACGTGAGATTCTAATCGCAACCTTGGCTACGGTGATATGCCGGCAAACGTGGCGATCGCGCGGTAGAGACCCCGAGAAGTTGCGCGACACTCGGCGACATGGCAATGCTCAATTCCTTCCGCTCGGCGCGGAGCAGACTCGCAGCGGCCGGTAAGCGAATCGCCAGCGGCTCGCCCGCACCGACCCTGCGTGCGCGTTTCCCTCCCACGAGTCCCTCTCTCCGTTCCAGCTCCGTGTCGGCTCTTACCTCCGTCATTTTTCGCGCCGATCGCTGCCTCTCGATCTCGCGCGAGGGATCGCTGTTGGAGCCCGTTTGCGCGAACGCTCCTTAGCGTCGAGAGAACAGATGGGCGTGCGGTCTCGTGTAACGTGCACTCTTGCACTCAGCCGCGACAAAAAGAGCAAATTTTCGACCTTAACCTCCCATTTCCGAGCGAGGAGGAGAGTTTACCAGTTTGTTAGACGTACCGGGGGATAGTGTCGTTAGACGTACAGAGAAGCCGGTGTAATTCGGCAGATTCGACCGATACCCTAAATAACCTAACCTAACCTAACGGTCGAAGCGCGTGAAAAAAAAGAGGGGAAAAGTGAAAGAGAGGCACCGTCGCGCCCGATGCTTCTGTCTCAGAAACGAGAGCAGGGAAGGCACGCATCTGCACGCGCCGGCACTTATTTGGCGAAGGGTTCGCGAATGCGTGGCGACGTACAAGAAATTTGAGGTTGTGCAAACAGGTAAATGCATACAGGGGAAAGTATTACGAGATAAGCTTCTAATATGAGATAGCAGGTTTTTAACGTCAAAACTTTAATCGCAACGCTTACACGATCTAACAAAAAATTTTCCACTGAACAGCTTTCAAGGGCAATAAATTAACGACGGGACCAATGCTGCCTGTTAATTTAGTAAGGAGAAGAATAAGGACACTTTTGTTATGCAAATCGAACCCAAGCTATCGTTTGAGCCCACACAGAAGTTCGTCGGATCAGCCGTTGTTGAGATCCGAAAATCTGAGGACCTGTCAACCCGCGTACTTGCGTAAACTGCACGGTCTGCCTCGCGCGCGCGGTTCTAGCTACGCTTAAGTCCAATGTCCACGATGCTAGAACTTGGTCCAAGTTCTAGCATCATTGGCCTTTATACTTGGTGCGAGACACTACTGTGTCTTGTGAAAAGCACTGCTATTTCATATTAGGAGCCTATCCCATGATAAGGGACTTTTCTCTATACGTGTGGGAAACGTAGACTGCGGTCCGCTTGATGTTCCGAAGCATTCTTCTTCTCCTGGGGCGTTTGGAGCATCAAGTGGACCGTGGCCGCAGAGACGCTTCTCGAAGAATAATTTGACACGCATCTTTACATGTCGCCGCCGTCAGCCAGCTTCGCCATGAATCAAACGAGTCAAATATTAGTCAACCAGGTCACCGATTTTCTGGACGAGGCCAACGTCGAGGGAGCTATGTGGCTTTTGATGGAGAACCAAAAGGATGCTGAGAATAGTTTGAACGGCATTATGTCCGCCATCGTCTCGAATCTCACCGGCTCTGTGTCGCAACACAAGCAGCCGGTATTTCAATCCTCCTTCGAAGTGTTGACGTTCATACTCAAGACTCACGATCCCGCGGTAACCGTGCTGGAGCTCCAGAAGTACGTGAGGTGCGCGAGCGACCACGTCAACTTCTGTGCCATCTTGGACGCTCTGCAGTATTGCCTGACGAGGATACCGAACAAGGGCAGAGTCATCGATTGGTGCTTGGATTCGCTTAAGATATACGTCGAGAATCTACCGCTGCCGGACGACGTGGACGATGACCTGAAAGAAGCCAGCGATAGAATTGTGGACACACACAAGGTGATCACAACGTTCCTAAAACCGTTGGTGCAGGAGGCGATAGTTATCGAGTCCAAGCAGAAGAAACGATCTGTATTGGGCGGCTGCCTGCTAGCCTTTTTTATTTTTCTGTGCGGAAAACCCTTCTGCTGCTTGAACAAGTACATCAGCGAGGAAACTGTGTACGAAGAACTAGCGAATGATATGGTGTCGCAAACGCTTTGCCTCACCGGAGATATATTGTACTTCTTGGACACTGTTGGCCAACGTAAAAGATACTCTAGCTGCGTCAAAGGGCGGCTGGAGAAATATATATCCGACCATATTTTCGATTGGAATCACAACGTACCCGACGTGGCTTACGCCAATTTTTACTTTTACGTATTTACCAAGGAAAACTATTGGACACAAGTGCCGCAAGTATATAATCCTTGCTATATCCTTGAAGCGTGTGCGTACTTTTTCAAAATATTGCTCAGCGAAGATTACTCGATCCCCAACGGATTAATTTTCATGGAAAACGTTATAAGACGCATTCCGTCGCACTCTGTAGACTCCAAGGTGTTGAAACTAGATATATATACAGAATTGTTTCAACCGATCACCAAGGTGATGATTTACTCCAACAACGATGAGCAACGAAAGATGGCAGTGCGCGTTTTTCAAGAGTATATCGAGATATTTGATATAAAAGCTAGATATACTGTAATCTTGTATTTGTACGAGATCGTCGAACATTCTAGCCTGCTGAGTTTCATCGCTGGTCTGTGTAAATCTTATATCGCTGAATGTCTCGACTCAACTCCACGAAATCCCCAATTTCTTGGGAAGAATATGAAATTGTTACTGAAGAAGGTTTGCAATCTGCCACATGGAAGTTCGTCCGACATAGTGGAGATATCGGACGAAATCATCACCGCGCTGAACTTGCTGAGATATTTGTTTATCAGAGATACCAACGATGAGACGGGTATTTGGGATATGACGGACGTGCTGAAGAACGATTATCTGAATCCGCTGAGAGAAGGCATAGACTCGAGCAAGGCGTATTGGCGAGTGAAGATGAAAGACTTGGAGCAACAGAAAAAGGATTTAGCTAGAGAACAAGATTGTAGCAAACTAATGCAGGCTAATGCTGACATGGAAGTTACATTGACGATTGGCGGTGAACAATTACCGATTATGCCGCTCTCTCCAAAAATGTCCATCTGTTCTCAAGTGCTAAATGGTTTAGATGTAATGGAAAGCATTCTTATACGAGTTAACGAATGCATAAGTATGAATGGAAAACTTGTGAAAAAGTCTGACGAATGTTCCAAGTAGAAATAAAATCAACTATGTCGTATTGTCATAAAATTGTAAGATTGTTTAAGATTTAATAGACTTTTTAAAAATTGTTTGTTTTATATTAATACCATTATGTTGCGTAATAAAAATTATATTGACATAAACAATTCTTATGTCTCTTGTTTAACATATTTATACATAATACGTATCTAATAACTAGATAATTTTAAAAGTAGATATTGATTTTATCAGGTTTTAGACGTTTATGGACTTCCAGGACTTTGCTGGCTGATCAATCTGAAAATGATAATAATAGAAAAGCAGAATCGCAAGAATCTATTCACGAGGAGACTGACGAGGAGTATGAGAAAAATATTAAGATAAAAATACTTAACGCTTCTTTACAATTTGTTCCTGATATGGGATGGAGCAAACAAGCTATTAGTGCTGGTAATTTGAGTTCTTTTTTATATGCTCTATTTGTAATTAATTTTTCCATTCGCTTCGGAGATAGTTTATCATAAAATGACCATTAAGCATCACGAAAAATTAAATAATTCGCTCTACATGTCTTTTAAAAAATAGGTTAAATAAAATCAATTTGATACAAAATGTTTACAAAAGAATAAAAATGTTTTATATTTAACTATTTATATATTCTATCTACTTCTATTACACGAGTCTCATGAAAGTAATCGATATCTGATATATATATTTTGTTAACAAGACATTGAAAAAATATTAAAAAATGTAGTTCGTATTTTTAATTTAATAGCTTCTTTGCAATTGTATTTCAATTTTCCTTATGTTAAGTTTGATCGATTATTGTTTGTCCACGTAAAATGCGATTTGCCATTACCGATATGCATTATTTTAACATGAAAATTAAATAAAATGACGTAATCGAGAGTTATGGTGTCCAAGGTGCTGAGTCGATTGGATATCCGGGTGTGATACATGGACTGTTTCCAAACGGTAGCGCAGCATTAGTCTTTTATTTTTACTCTATGTGCAACCGGGACCTGAATCAAATCCTGGAGAAAGAGGCACTGGCTATCGAAGCGAATCCCTCGAATCCACGGAAGACGCCGGAGCAACACGTTTGCGACGCCGTGGAAACGCGATTGAGAATGGTGGTCCCTTACAAGAAAACCTGGCCGCAAGCAATGGCCATTATGAGCCTACAACCGAACGTACTGACCGCTTTGGCAAACTTATTAACTTTAGTCGATGATATCTGTTACTATGCTGGCGATAAGTCTGTTGATGTACGTGGTATCGCCAACTTTATCTGTTAGTATAAGAAATATATTATTTGGATATGTGCTGTTTACATAGAGAATATTTTGTTATTAGATTAACTGGTATACCAGGAGAATGATACTGGCGGGTACTTACAAAGCCACTGAATTGTACATGTTGCAAGATAGTAGCGAAGACCACAAAGAAACCTGGCTGTTCTTAGAAAGACGAATAAAGGATATCTTCCAAGTACAAACGATGCTCTCCAGCTCAATCAAGCCGGATGAAACTCTAAACCGTGTTACGGAGACTGCTACTGCTGTTTTTATAACGGTACGATTATTTCCGATAGATTATATTGTAGATAAGATGGTGAGTCAGCTTCAATATTGTACACTGTATATACAATTACATTTCTGTTCTAGGCCCGTAATATACTTGGATTGAATTAATGAATAAAGAGAAAGAGTAGGTTTTAGGGAATGGAACTTCTTATAGACGCTTTCGAATGAGTATAATTAAACATTTTTGTATTTAAATGAAAAGGGAAGTTTTATTTTACTTAGGACCCTGGACTCGCATTAAAAGTCAGTGTTAAGAAAGGAAATATCAGCAGACATAGCTGATTTATTTTACATAGTAATATATTTTAACAAAATCTGTACAATAAAATAGGGTATAAATCTATATTATTTCCATGCAAAGATAGAAATTGTTGATTAAAGATATATCAACATTATTCTTTTAACAATAGATTAAAAAACAATTCGTTTACCCTGCATATTATCATAATTAAGTATAACCATCTGGTGTCAGGTATATCAAAATTTTGCTATTCCTATACTTTGCTACTACAAAATAGTAGAAAAAGTCAAATTTTTTACAATAATTAACTTACAGAAATTTTATTGCAACTTTCTCCTAGGTTTACGTAACTAATAAATACGAAAGATTCTCTTTTGATTGAATAAAAATAACCAATTAAAAACAACGTAATAATATTCAAATTTTCCAATAATTTTTAACTTTTATCTATTTTACGTATTTTCACGTTAAATAATATATGTAGTAGATGCGTCACGACTTGAGAAAAATATTAAAAAAACTTTTTTATCAAGTATAACGCACATACCGAGGACAAACCAATTTCTCATATATGTGCATGTGTATGTAAGCACATACATTATATACTTTTATTACCATTTTATCATAAAACTCTATTCTACACCACTCTTTTTTTTTATTAATATGCATCTTGATAAAAATAATTTCATTAATCTCAACAGTTATTTTACTTCTTTATCTGTCAGTTCTTAATAATGCGCTTCTTGAATGTATCCCTTGATAGTTTTTGGCAAAGGCAACTTGTGTATGTTATCTAATCTAATATACTGACGGATGACAAAGCGACAAAGGTATTGCAGACTCCTTACTTGCGTGAATCTGCTCACTGGTTTCGTTAATCTGACCGGGAACGACGGATATCCCGGATATTTTGGCCTCGAGTAACAAATCACGGCGGACTGGCTGAAGTTCATGGAGTGATTTATCAGGGCGGCCACCGAAGTGAAGCCCTCGTTCTCGCTTTGATTGCATAGGGAAAATAGGCCGCCGCTGTGTTCCATACGCGCGTGCAGCATCTTTCCGGATGACTTGAAGCTGAGTGTTAGAACGTACCTATGGACAAACGGTGGAACCTTAGCGTACACGAGAATACAAAATCCTGCAGAGTCAAGTTATGCGACATACGCACCTGTCGTCTGACGAATCCCGAACCAGAAATGCACCATCGGGCTCGGATATGAGTTTGGCGTCAGCTTCGTCCCCCGATATGGGACCCCAATACCATCCGTATTTACTTAGATTAAGCAGCTCCTTCGCGAGGCTCGCTTTAACTTTATGTTCGTTGTTTAACGTTTCGTTTACGCTGCCGGAGACTTGCGCGATCGCACTGGAAACTGCTAGCGTTACATCAGAATAGGTAGGTCGCGTCCCTGTCGCCTCGCTGACGGTCGCAGCGTCGCCTATCGATTTGTCTTGCTGTCTTGTAGGAACTGTACGAGGATTTGCGCCGGTTGTACCGCATTGCGTGCTAATGTTTGCCACATTTTCTTCGATACCGCGGCAGGGGTTGTCAAGTACGTTGTTCAATCTGGCTTCGTGCAAGAGTCGTCTGTCCGACGAGGCCTGCTCGTCACTTGGAAGATCTCGTCTCTGACAAGAATTGAGCGATTCAATAACAGACGCAACATTGTTCTGCTTCGTGCCAGAGCAAGGGCTCGTCGCTTCCGTCTCTTTGCCCTGGAAAAAAAAGCAACAATGAGGGAGAACCATCCGAGACAAGAGACACAACACGACGTCGCCGGAGAGGAGCAAAGACGAGATCTTGCTCGAGACAAAGAACGGCGGGCAGGAGGAGACTACCTTTTTCTTGGACTTGCAGAGATTCTTCAGCAGCAGGTGCTTCTTGACGTTGCACACGAAGTCGAGGAATGACAGCCCGCTGCTCGACGCGCCTCTGAGTCTGTGATCCGCCGACCTGGTGTCGCACGTCGGGTCCTCCCTCTTGCACTCCTGACGCCGATCGCCCTCGCACCGCCGGAGGAGCGTAGCGAGCCTGCCGCTCGTGTACCCGCGCCTCGGCCTGCGTCGTGCGCCCGCGGCATGCTCCGCGGCGGTGCCCGCGGTCGACCCCGGGTCCCTGCTCTCATCTGTCATACTCGTGCGTGCTAGTGCCCGAGCGAATGCGTGGGTAGTACTCGGAGCCGATTTTCCACCCGCCGTTCTCGTAGCCGCGGGCCGCGGTACTCACGCGCGCGCGCGCCATCTACTCGGCGCGGCCGACATCATTTCCGCGTCCGCGTCCGAAACTCGAAGACCAGCGGGATATCTCGCGTGGAAAAATTCCGTCGGGCAGTGGAAGATGTCGCTCCTCTCGTCTCCGATGCTGTTTAGTGCGCCGAGCACCCGACAGATTGCACCTCCATTAACTTTCGAATGCTTTCACAATTTCAACGGAAAAAGCTGATTTGCAATTTCTGTAAAATTCGTGAATTTGATTGGAGCACACTCATAGGGTGCGCTCCGTTTCACGCGTGATGTGCACAATGCATCATTTATCCCTCTTTAACATTTTGCGAATAACAAGGATAAATCATGCGAGAAACGGAACGCACCCTTAAGCCCGTATCAGATTACGGATTGAGATTGGGATTAGATTGAAATTTGACCAATCAGAGTAAAAGTTACTGAATTTAAGATTAGTAAACTTTACTGTGATTGGTTAAATTTCAATCTACTGGGCTAAAGTCCATATCAGACTACGGATTGGGATTGGGATTAGATTGAAATTTAACCAATCACAGTAAAGCTTACTAATCCCAAGTTCAGTAACTTTTACTCTGATTGGTCAAATTTCAATCTAATCCCAATCTCAATTCGTAGTCTGATACGGGCTTTATAGCGAATTTGATTGTCTGCACTAGTGCGCACTGAGTGCACAAAAGGCCTGTTTACAGTCCATTTTTATATTTAACTTTGTCTTAAATGCATGTTCAAAAAGTATTTAGCCAAAAAATAATTGCGTGGAAGCTACACAACCATACAGCACCAAAACATTAATGTTTCTGAAAGCTTTGGTGCAGTCTGCGAGATTATTTTACTGACTACGAAATATTTCAAGAGATATTCAAGACGATCCTTAAATATAGGAATTGATTGTAAACAAGCCTTGGTGTGCATTCAGTGCGCACTAGTGTGCAAGCAACCGAATTTGCTATTAAATTATGCCGTTTCAAAATTTTTACAACAATTACAAAGCAGTTTTGGAACAGTTGTAAAATTCGAAAATTTGATTGGAGTACATGCTCTTAAATTTTGCCATAATTAACAGCATACGCCAATTAGATTCAGGATTTTACAACAGTTGCGAAGCAGCTTTTTCTGCTGAACGCGGCCAAAGTTTCACAGCACGTACTAAACGACATAATTTTTAAAAAGGGAAAATTGCTTACTTATATAATTATATATAACTTTGTACAATTGTACACAATTATATATAATTATAAATGAGCTATTTTTCACGTTAAACAATTTTTCATATAAAAGCATGTACAAATTTATACATTTATACAGAACGGTTTAGAATTTTTATATAATTTTATATATTTGTTCATGTTCGTGCATGAGACATTTTTTACCGGATAAGTTTCGAGATTGAATGAAGAATGAAATAAAAAGTAGGAACGTATACTCGATTAACTCCATCAATAAGAAATGACAAGATATCAGAGGCTTGAACGCACTTTCGTAATTTTCTCGTAGAAATCTCCGTAGAAGGACTTTCCCATTCACTTTTCGCGTACGTCAGAAAGATGATTTGGAAATGATCGATTACATTTTTACTATTTGTGCACGTTCGTACGGCGGACCTTGTTTAGTATATCTTCAACGAGGTCGCGCAAGGCCGCGTACTTCTCACCAGATGAACGATGAGAATCCGTAGAAGAAATCGTAGAAACGGCGCGAGGGATCAAGGGTGAAAGGTGCGAATGTCGCTTCCGCGCCGAGCTTCAATTTGTGTACAAATGTACGCGAGGATTCGGACTTCATTTCGCGGCGAATAGCTACTTCTCGGCGAAAGGAAAAACGTAGATTAACCAACGTCGATTTCACCGACCTTTCTCAAGACAAGTAGCAGCAGCCGCTGAATCCTCGGCGCGGTCCTTTTTAAACGCTATCCTTCGAGGAACTTGAGAACTGTCGAATGGCAAATTTCTAATCTTAATAGGCAATTGAAAAGGCAATTGCTTCATTATCTTCAAAGAGAGTAGGCGACACATCGGATTTACATATACTACATCTAATTGTAAGATCTAAAACTCAACGCGAAAAAGTTAACGTTGTAAATAATTTAGTTTTGCTACGAATTATCAGACACGTTTTATAAACCAACAAATTTTCTATCCCACAGATTTCTTCTTTTACAGTAATCAGGGTTGGGAAAGTTACTTTATAAAAGTATCTAGTTACAGTTACAGTTTTTTCGCTAAAAATATAACAGTTACAGTTATAAGTTGCCAATTCTGAAAAGTAACGCGCTACAGTTACACCCTAGCGGAACAATTTCTATAAATAACTACAATACAAAAAATTGATTTAAAATAGAAATTTGTATAAATTTTTATATCTTCGTTAATGGATACGTTTAATTAATTATCTGCGTCCGCATTCAGCCTGTGTTCTGCCGCCAGAGTTTGCCGACATGCTCGGACAGCAGATTGTCGGCAGAAACCGAGCAGGATCTGCCGTTTAACTCTTTACCGTTTTTATTCCTTTCATTACAAAGATAAAAATAAATAAGTTTAAGATTTCTACACACTCGTAGACAAGAGTGCAAGGAAGCTCATTTCAGAACTTCAAAAAGATGACCAAAGAATGGATGTGTTAATTTATAATACCGCGTGCGGTTTTCTTCTTACGAGAAAGGGCCATACCGCGTGTCCATCCAGCGGGAATGTTACGCTATTAAATAACAGAGTTTGTTCCGTTTTGTTACCAATCTGCCGACAAATTGTGTCAGCAGATTCTGCTGGGTTTCGGCTGCAATCTGTCGCCATGTTGCGTGAGCAGGATCCGCTCGATTTCTGCCGCTAATCTGCTGTCTAAACGTGTTATCAAGCTTTGTTATATTTCTGTTGATGTTCTGCCAACATCATGTGATATATCAGAGCCTGTATCAAATCTGTAGTCTCTCTGTCGACAAAATTTGGAAACGGAGTTTCCTGATGCCTGTTCTCTACAGGCTTGGCTATCTGGGTATGTAATTCCCTTATCACATTTTCTCTTCAAAGTACGCGTGACACTCATCTCGACAAATCACCGTAGAAATCAACGATATGATTACGGATCGTGATAATTATTTAAACGCGGTTGACAAACGTTAATAACTCTCCTAGATGATCGAGATCTTGTAGAAAACGATCGCGTTATGAGGAGCGACGCGAAGACACGCGGAACATCCGCCTCGCTCGACTGATCCGCGCCGAATGATTCGACACAATAGATTGTTTTCGACCGAGAGTTCGCGGCGCTACGTCATTTCTTGGAATCGACGCTGGGACTACGGCGCTCGGCGAAACAAGGTCGCGCCGTACGCAGGATCATTCACACGGCGACAGTCGAATGAGTAGGTTGTGTCCGCGCCGCTCCGCATACGTATTATTCTTTTTTGACGCGCATTCACGACAAGTACGGGAAGAGACCGCGATCGATAGTGATCGGTATCATCGCGCGATCGCTGAATCCCCGCGATTTGCCATCGATACTCGGTTAATCGGCAAGACAGATGTCTAATTGGCAAATTCGGTTGCTTGCACTAGTGCGCACTGAGTGCACACTAAAGCCCGTGTCACACTATGCATTGCAGATCGCGAATCAGATTGAGATTGAGGGTCGCGGATCGCATTTCAGCCAATCAGACGAGACAGCCTCGTATCCGATTAGTTGAATTATGCTCCGCGATCCGCAATTTCAATCCGATCCGTGATCCACAATACGTAGTGTGACACGGATTTTAAGTCCGTATCAGACTACGGATTGAGATTGGGATTAGATTGAAATTTGACCAATTAGAGTAAAAGTTACTAAACTTGAGATTAGTAAACTTTACTGTGATTGGTCAAATTTCAATCTAATCCCAATCCCAATCCGTAGTCTGATACGGGCTTAAATTGACCAATTAGAGTACAAGTTACTAAACTTGACATTAGTAAACTTTACTGTGATTGGTCAAGTTTCAATATCTAATCCCAATCTCAATCCGTAGTCTAATACGGGCTTAAGGTTTGTTTACAATCAATTCTTACAATTAAGGATCGTCTTAAATATCTCTTGAAATATTTCGTAGCCAATAAGATGATCTGTATAGCATCCACGCGGATCAGTTTTTGGTTAAATACTTTTTCAACATGTATACAAAATTAAATATAAAAATTGACTATAAACAGACCTTAGTGTGCACTCATTGTCAGTGCGCACTAGTGCAGGCAATCGAATTTGTTATAACACGATTCACACGAGATCTATACATCTATACATCCAAGAATGAAAGCGCTAGCTAACTTGTTCATTGCGATAATTACGGACGATAATTGCCTCTTTAATCGATGCTCGTATTTAAACACATCTCGTATCGTCGCATTGAATCTCCCTGGTGAAAATAAAAATTGGAGGGTAAATCGAATGTAAGGAGAGAGTGATAGAAGCGTAAACGAAAAGTGTGGGAAACGTAATTTGGAACAGCGAAGCGTAAAAGAAACTTCAACGCTTCTTTTACGCTTTGCTGTTCCAAATTACGCTTCCTACACATTTCGTTTGGGCTTCTATCACTCTCCCCTTACATTCGATTTACGCTCCAAATTCTATTTTCACCAGGGCTCTCGTTGTTTCGAGTACAATTTGTTGGCTGTTTCTAGGTTGAAAGCGCGAAATAATACACGAAATATTGACTCGAGTGCTTTAATTAGCATTTATCGGTGATTTATTAATACCAGTGTCGCATTTGAGGATCACTTAAAACCAGGGTTGAGAAAGTTACTTTATAAAAGTGTCTAGTTACAGTTACAGTTTTTTCGCTAAAAGTGTAACTAGTTACAGTTACAAGTTACCTATTCTGAAAAGTAACGCGTTATAGTTACAGTTATTAAAAAAAAGTAATGAATCGTTACTTTGCAGTTACTTTCTTGGAGTGAAAATAAAAATATCAAATCTGCTGTTAAATTGTTAAGTGCCAATAAAAGCGTTTATGCGCTTATGCAAGGCCTAATGCGATCTGTGGGGGTTTAAAAAATATATTTAAAGTAACTATTAATATAACTATTAAATTAGTTACTAGTTATCGCAAAAATGTAACTGAGTTAAGTTACAATTATGGACGGAGAGAAAATAACGAAGTTAAGTTAGAGTTACCAAAAAAAAGTAACTGTAACTGTAACTTCGTTACAAGTGACGAGTTACTTCCCAACCTTGCTTAAAACCCGGCCGTGGCAGCTCTCAGGCTTCTCTCTGAATGAAAATAAACTCAGTGAGAAATGATTCGTCGATCAATGTCGAAACGATGTCGAATCGACATCGATACCATCAAATCGACATCGATTCGACATCGATCGACGAGTCATTTCTCGCTGGATAAAATATCAAATCTACATTTGAATTGTTAAGCATCGATAAAGGCGTTTATGCGCAAATGCAAGACCCAATGCAATCTGTGGGGGTTTAAAAAATATATAAAGTATCAAATTAGTTACTAGTTATCGAATCATCAATCGTGAATGATATCCAGATACGAAATGCGCCGAATACGCGGTATTTACTTATACGCGTTGAGGCATTCGCGATGGGCCGCGAGCGACGTTACGAGATACTCAACGGATATCGAACGCCGAGTAACATGGCGACGCGTTATGCAACCGATCGGGACGTACATGCTACGCGATCGGCGTAGAAATGCGCTTTCTAATAGGTCTTCGTTATTTATAGGCGAGGAAGGAAACATCGGCGACGCCGCGCGTCGTTAGGATGCTTCTGTCAACGACGTTCGTCGCGCGGGTCGCAGATATAAATCGATCGTTTCGCGATTTTTCATCGCGGACGCGCACCTCTTCTGCGGCTTCCGATTACGCGTCCGACGGGTTCTCGCGGGGTAAAAGGAGGGGGGAAGGAACAATGGCTTTCGCCTGAAGAAACACCGGATGTCGCCATGCACCTCGCCTATTCAATATCGCGTAAAAGCGCAGCGGAGTTAATTGGTCTCGTGACTCGCGCGGCGTTTCGCAAAGATCGTTCCTCGTTAAACGAAAATCAATTCGTTTTAATTGCTCTCGCGACAAGGTTTCAGAGCTGCATGGGAAAGGGGAGCAGCGATAGGAAAGAGAGGCCGGACGTTTGGTAGAAAGTGAAACTAACGCGACGCTCGTATTTTTCATAAAACTCGTTCATCTTACAGTTAATTAGCCCGTAATTCTTAATTAAGAAAAAATTCTGCTTCATTTACCGATTGATATATTACTCAATGAAATTAATGTATTTATTATCGCTATTTTTGTCGTTATTTACACATAAAGATAAAAATTTGGCACGGCATCGTTTGTAACAAATACGAATCGGCGTGTTATCAAGTAATTAATTTCGCTTGCACTTTCTGCACTCGGAATGGAAATCGAAACCAAGTGAAATCTATAGAGTTAATTGTTTCCTTCGCTTGCACTCTCTTTTCCAAAATGACACGAGCGCGCGCACTCGGACCGCCCCTTGGGAAAATGTACTTTAAAAGAAACTAAAGCTTCCAAAAGTAATCTTCCAAATATAAGAGTTTACTTAAGAAATTTGAGAGTAATTTTGGACACAGAGTAATTTTTAGATAGCCAAGCCTCTTGATTGGCCGAAAGCTGTACGAATAGCCAATCAGCTTGCAACTTGCGACTGTAAAGCCTGTCACACAATGTCAGGCAACAGGTAATGGGAATAGGGAATAGAATTTTTGACGCGTTGGATTCGTCTCGAAAATTTTCTTCCAACCAATTCAACGCGTCAGAAATTCTATTCCCTGTCCCTGTTGCCCGCGCCCTTACGCCCATTCTTAAGCCAACGGCACACGATACTATTTTTCCTACTGGATTGCTTACGAGAGCCAATCAGGACGCAGAGTTTTCGATCAGGTGACTCAAAGCTGAATCCTGATTGGCTCTCGTAAGGAATCCAGTAGGAAAAATAGTATCGTGTGCCGTTGGCTTTACTTTCGGAACTATTTTGCTGTGCATCTTCTGACACTGCCGATAAAGTCTCCGCTTTGTGCGTGTTCACGCTACGCTCATTTTTTCAGGATTGAGCTGCGAATTTCAAAATTACATTAACATAAATTATCTGCGTGATGTTTACATCAAACTTGTTCATGTAGTCGATGTAAATTTTATAAATTAGATGTCGGAATGCATAGCACAGACGTGCACTGGTGGAAATTTTATCGGCAGAGTTAGAAAACGCCGTGCGAAACTCCCCCGAAACGGTATCAAGTGAAGTGGCCGCTCTCAGGTTTCCCTCGGCTATACGTTTCTCTTTTGAATGAACTCTTTTGAATGAATCAAGAATCGAGCGCCAGTGTGGACGGTGCGGGCGAACGAGAGACTAAGTCGATCCTAACCTAATCGGGAGGATTAAACGTTTATCTTACAATTTTTCATCTTTCTAAGCTAGTGTCGCAAACGTGAACGCTTGGAGGTGTACGATGTCGTACATACGACACGAAGCTGCCGCATTCCGTAACCTTGTACACGACATACACAAATAACGCATTGCTCGGCCGAGACGGTGCGCGCGAGTGCCCGTTACATTATTTGATTTATTTGTTTCAACCCGGGTCGCGTCGTCGCGCGACGCTGTTTTGTTTACCAACGGCTCGCGGCTTCTCGCGACGGAGCGGCTTTAAGTGCGCCGCGAAGGACGAGGCGGGGGGGGGGGGCGCGGCGCGGCGCGCCGGCAGTTAGCTGTTAGTGGTGGCCGGCGGCAGACCGCGCGTGGTAGGACTGGTAGGAGGCTGCCGCGATTCAATTTCAGTCGAAGCGCGTCAGGCCGAGCGATCGCCAGGGCGGTCGAGAACGGAGTCGGGCGAGAGCTCTCTTTTCCGCGCCACGATTTTCGAATCCCCGACCGAGAGAGACGGAGAGAGAGAGAGGGAGAGACAGCCTGCATGGGCTCGCAGGTGCGCGAACGTGGACTATAACGTGTGGCTGCGCGGCGTCGCGTCGGCTCTTTTCACGCATCTTCGTCCCCTCCCCTCCGCCGCGGCCGGTCCGCTCGCTACGAGGGAGGCTTGCGCGCGCGCGAGAGTGTGCGTCGTGTACCTCCGGCGGTTGTCCCAGCATCCAGTCGGTTTTTACGTGGCGCGCGTGCCCGGTCCGTTTGGCGCGCCGCGACGGCTCGATCCGAGCCTGTCGCCCGGGATTGTGATTGTCCGACCGGGGTTCGCGGCTTACGCGCCGTCGTCGCCGGCAGCCCGAGTGGCGCGAGTCGAATTTGAAACCGGCGAAAAATGCAAATGGCGGCGGTAACCGAGCGGAACGTTCGGCGCACTGGGCCGGCTCGCGCGGGCCAGTGAATCGGGGGTTCGTTCGACGTGACACCGGGAGCATTTCGAGATGGACGTTGGTGAGGACGTGAAATCGTTCGCTCGAATAATCACGTGACTGTGACGATACTACGACTACGACGACGCCGCCGCGCGTACGTGTGTGAACGGCATGAGCGGCTGGTAGGCGAGGTAGGTACGAAGGCAGGATCGACAATGGAATTCGGGAGCTACAAGGGCACCGGACCCCGCGTCAGGCTGCGTCGACGCGCGGAATTGGGCAGACGGCTCACCAGGAGGCTGTCCATCGTCGCCAAGATGCCGGCCGCGATTCTCAGCAGAGCGAATCCGCCGGAGCCGAGGCCAGTCGAGATCACGGCGATTGCACCTGACAAGACGCAGCTCACCGTGAGTAAAGTTGCCTTGTTTAAACGCGCCCGCTGATATCCGCGGCCTTTGCTCGTAATCGTGGAATTTGACGCGGGAGTGGCGGGGTCGGTACATTCAGCGGTTAATGAATGTTTAATTAGTGGACATAAATCGCGCGTGTGACATGTACGTTAGTCACGACTTGCATCACGGACTGTCTTGCGGGGCTTTGTACTTGTACGAGTACATTTAATGCGCAGCCCGCGAGAACTTTTCAAGTTAGAATTTTGTACCTATACAGTCATTTGCGACAGTCTTCGTCTTGGCACGAGTAAAAAGAAATGAGTCTGCGCTTTTGTGATTTCGATTCGAAAAGGCGCATTTTCGTGCGTATTCGCGTCGAGATAAGCGTCGCTAGAGAAGTTAAGTTAATTTAAAGATCATCTTAAATACATACCTCTTGCAATATTTCTTAGCCAGAAAAATGGCCTGTACAACGTTTACACGGATCATTTTTTGACTAAATACTCTTTGAACATGCATTTAAGACAAAGTTAAATATAACAACTGACTATAAACAAGTCTTAGCGTGCACTCAGTGCGCACTAGTGCAGGCAACCGAATTCGCTATTAAAGTTGGTCCGAGAATTAAAGTTGGTCCGAGAAAGGACCAACGCGACGATTGTGCTTCGTTTAAAAATAGCGATGCACAGAAAACGTGTCAGGTCGACTCTTATGTACTCAAATTAACACGTTCGTTGTTTGTGTACACGCAACAATCGATACTCTTCTTAGAAACATTTAATAATCTTATATTTCAACAATATTACGGCCTCATTTAAATACTATAATTTGTCACAGCCTTTGTCTTGACACGAGTAACAAAAATGAGTCTGCGTTTTTGTAATTTCAATTTAAAAACGTGCGTATTTTCGTCGGGATAAGCGTCGCTAGAGAAGTTACTAAAAGTTGATCCAAGAAAGGACCAACGCGACGATTGTACTTCGTTTGCACAGAAAAAAGTGTCGGATCAACTCTTATATACTCAAATTAACAAGTTTATTATTTTGTGTATACGTAACACTTTATAATCTTCTTAGAAACATTTAATAATCTTATATTTCGACAATATTACGGTCTCATTTAATTACTATAATTTGTCACAGCCTTCGTCTTGACACGAGTGAAAAAAATGAGTCTGCGTTTTTGTAATTTCGATTTAAAAACGTGCGTATTTTCGTCGGGATAAGCGTCACTGAAGAAGTTACTAAAAGTTGATCCAAGAATGGACCAACGCGACGATTGTACTTCGTTTGCACAGAAAAAAATGTCGGATCAACTCTTATATACTCAAATTAACAAGTTTATTATTTTGTGTATACGTAACACTTTATAATCTTCTTAGAAACATTTAATAATCTTATATTTCGACAATATTACGGTCTCATTTAAATACGATATTAAAACAATATCGAAACGATGAAACTCAATATCGTTTCGATAGACTAACACCAGTCCGAGAAAACACACGGCGTATTGTATCACACTGGACCAACGGTCTATTACTACCACAGAGTTCATAACCAACAAGTCTCGTTACTCGTGCGTTACAACCTTACAACAGTCAATAGATGATCTCAGACAACCCCCATGCGCTGCTTAGGGTAATTATTACGAATGTAAAAACCACGGACAGATTTTAACAGTAATGACTATATTGAATAAGAATATTTTAACAAGTAACCAAGTAGTTTAACGCTGAAGATGACCCAAAAAAGGGCTCGAAACGTTCGTTCGTATGTAAAATCCTAATTTAGAAATAATTTATAGATATTAATCTCATGTAACACAAAGCTAATACATGCGTTCTAAGGTATTTTAATGTAACAAACTTATATATTTATTTATTATCCTACGGAACATTAGACTCTCATTGCCCTTTCTCACATTGATTATTAATATTGGAGTCTTTATTATTGTTTAATTTATCTTATTGTATTTTACTCTCTAAAATTTGTGGAGTGAAAATATTGCCATGGAGTGAAATGTTCACCCTATTGGCGCGAATATTTCCTCCAACAGAGTGAATATTAACTCCAGTGGAGTAAACATTTCACTCCATGGCAGTATTTTCACTCCACAAATTTTAGAGAGTATTTTATTTTATTTTATTTTATCTTTATAATACAAGACCTAATGCTCACAAAATGTCTTAGTAATGCCGCAACCCTGTAGGGGAAC